TAGGCAGTCAACGAATATTTGTTGAATGAATTAACGACGCCCTCCAAACAGTGCCTGGCCACAAACTCTTAACACAATGCCTGATGCTCAATAAATGAGAGATGTCATTACTATAATAGGCTTGCTTTGTGTGAGTTCAGAGGTTAGAAACAGTCAGGGAAACGGTATATGGAAAAGACATGGAGAATCACATTGCTGAAGTCACCCCTCAAAATCAGCACCCAGGTGTGAGCTTGCCGTGGAGGGTATAGCCTACCTAGGCGTTCCGTCTGAATAGACTGACTGACATTCTCTGAGGATTTCAGGAACGCTGCCAACGTGGTGCTCGCCACGCTCTCCAGTAAGACTATGGCCAGGGTGGACGTTTCTTCTTTGGTGAAGGTGGACCACGTGGACGTTTGCTCAAGCACAGAGGTAACACTCTCAGCCGTATTCTGCAAAGAAAGGTGTATTTGCTCTCTCTCTCTCGTCAATGAAATAGCAGCTGTCCTTTCTCATCAAGAGAATGGGTTGCAGTCAAGGGAAGGATGAGGTGTGTCTGCCTAACGGGTAGGGAATTTCATTTTGGGGTGATGAAAATGTTCTGGAACTAGATAGTGGTGATGGTTAGACAACATTGTAAATGTACTAAATATCATTAATGGTTACCAGAAAAAAAGGAATGGGACTATTGATAAACACAACATTGATGAATCTCGAAGGCATTATGCTGAGTGAAAGAAGCCAGACTCAAAAGGCCATGTGATTCCATTTATATCACATTCTTGAAAAGACAAAGCTATAATGACAGAGAACAGATCAGGGATTTACAGGGGCTAGTGGTGGAGGGAGTATCTGATTGTAAAGAGAAAACCCAAGAGAGTTCTTGGGGGAGATGGAACGGTTCTGTATTCTGATTGTGGTGGTGGTTACACAAATCTACTCAGGTGATAAAACTCATAGGATTGTAAAGAAAAGGGCAATTTTACTGCGTGTTAATTTTTAAAAACTTACAACTGTAATAAATTAAATATTAACTCAGTCTATTAATTATAAAGAGGACTTTCTGCTCCCAAAGTGTCCCACAAGATGCTCGAAACTGGAAACACAATTACAAAGACTTCCTTGTTACCTTCAGAGAAACGACGGTGGCTTTGTTCTCACAGGCATTGTCCAGGATGCTGACGGTGGTGTTCATTAGTGCACAAAAGGAAACCTGTGCCCCACAGGGAACAGCATTCGTGAGCATTGATCAGTCTATCCCGCAAGCATGTAAGGTACAAATTGGGCCATCAAGCCCACCATACAGGGTGGTCCCAAATTCCTGAGGTCTCGTGAGTCTCTCGAATTCTCGGAGAAATAAAAACTCACTATTTGATCAGAATTGGAACCACAGCACCTTTCTCTTCCATGAACAACAACAACAACAAAAGAAACATAGACAGCAAAACCATTTAGTGGGGTAAAAAGATGGGGAAATGTGTGAAAAAGCAGTGGTCCAAATGGAATAGTACTCAGCCATAAAAAGGAATGAAGCATTGACACATGCTGCAACATGGATGAACCTTGAAAACATGTTGCTCAGTGAAAGGAGCCAGACACAAAAGACCACATAGCGTATGATTCCATTTATATGAAATGTCCAGAATAGACACATCTGTGGACACAGAAAGTAGATGAGTGTTTACCAGGGGTTGGGGTAGGGGGGAATGGGCAGTGACTGCTAATGGGTACAGGGTTTCCTTTGGGGGTGATGAAAATGTTTTGGAGATAGATAGAGGTGGTGGTTACACATCATTGTGAGTACTAAATAACACTGAATTGTATAATTTACAATGGTGATTTTTTAGGTGTATTTCACCACAATGAAAAAAAGACATGACAATGGTCCAAAGTGCATGGCAATTCCAAAGCTAATTTATAAGCTCATATTTAAAATAGTTACACCAATTCCTGAAGATGCTCATGGGGCCTTTACTCACGGGAGTGACTCCATTAGAGAATCAGATGTCCAGATTCCTCTGTGCCTGGCCTAGGGGCTATGTATCACACATGCATCCCATATCACACAGATGCAGCACCAACAGCTTCACTAGTAATGAGACTCCAACATCCTTTCTTCTTTTAGTAAGAGAATTCCCAAGTTTTAGATGAGCAAATGTCCTCCCTTCCCAGCTTTCCTTGTAGCTAGGTGTGA